CCCCCCGACACACACACACAAAACCTAATTCTAGTGGTCAAGGACTTGCATTTATTTATTTTAACACTTTGATAAACTGCTTGCTGGATAAAAAAATTGGCTAGATAACTTTCATGTTTTTTCATGTATTATTCACTTCCACAGGAAATTAGAGAGAGACAACAAAGAATCATATTCAGTGAGGTGGTATGTATGTTTTTTTCAGGTAGAGACAATGTCCTGCAACTGCTTTTCCTACATATCTGCGAAGGAGCTCTTTCCTCAGTTATTAAGTGCTCCTGAAACCATGCTTGCTTCCATCTTATTCAAATTATTATTGGATCTACCTAGAAGATGTGAATAACTTTTGAATACATTCCTACTGGTTTACCCTGTTGCTTTACATGTTTGCACCCTATGAACAAACTAATGTGTTCTCATTTTTCACCATGTTCTGAGTACTGCTCATCATGGAATCATTCTGAAGAATAAGAAGAGAGGCCTTTGCCCTTAAGAAACTTACAATATATTTAAAGAGAGAAAACTTTCAAGGAAAGTAATTTGAAAAGGAATATAAATAACAGCTTTTGTGCTACAAATGTGAATGCTATTGAATTATAAAAAGAAGCAAAAGATCTTTATGGGCTATAAATTATTTATACAGGAAGTGAAAATTTAAGCCTGTAAGGAAATAAAAAAATGGGTTGGTGAACAGTAGAAAGGAGTTTACTAAGGGAAGGGAAAAAAGAATAAGATCAGAATAAGACCTGGAAGTGGAAAATAGGGTGGCGTTACAGGGGACTGAGAACAGAAGAAATTAAAAAAGGAAAGATTTGATTCTAATAATGAGCAGGTTGCCCAAACCACCTGTTCTTAAAAGTGAAACATCTTGGGCTGCAAGCATGACTAATATTAAAATGTTCATTCAATATGCATAAGACAACACATACATTCCTTATTCTTGTAGCTTTTATTCAAATACACCATTGTACTTGTAAATTTTGCATATCATTAAAATGTTTAATAATGTGATTTTTTTTACTGAAATAGGTATCTCCATGAATGTAACATGGAACACAGACTGCCATGTGTGCATGTGTGTGTGGTGTGTATCAAACTTCCTGCCTATAGCACTGTATGCCACGTGATGACTCAATTCCCAACACTTTACTCAAGTGACTTCAAAACTTTCTATATGCTTTATTATGTAGGGAAGTTGTTTGGTTTTTATTTGGCTAGAACGTATCATTAACATATTAAATCCATCTTTGTTCTTCTTAGCATATGGAAACTATTAAGGCTTTGAAAATGGTTCAGAATCTATGATAAACACAAACACTAAACTTGATCTTCCATATGATTCCAAATGTTTTATTAATTGATATTATCACAATAAACACAGCAATTTAAGAAATCTCCATAAAAAAACCTCATCCATCTTCACAAATGCACCTATTCCACCAACCTTACTCTGAGAAACATTACTTTAAGCTTTTCTGGGATCCAGATTTAGAAAGGTGAGATGTGGTTAATTGAGTAATGCTCATCTGCTCAGAAGAGCAATAGAGATTTGAGTAAGTTCTCCAGCAGGAGCGTGACAAAAGAGAGTGAGTTTTAAGTAAGAGTAAATGAGTACCCATTTGTTGAAATAAATGGGGAAAGATGCTCCAAGGAGATTAATTGAAGGATTATTGTTATATATTTTTATTCAATGTTGCATGCTCAGGTAGATAAAGGTTAACAAGTGAAATGATGACAATAAGAATGGGAAGACACTTTTACAGGGGTATGAGGGAGGCCTATTTGAAAAGGTGACATGTATTAATTCAGTTGTTCAGGATGAGAAATAATCAGCCTCAGGGAAGTCTCTAGGCAGAAACAAGAGCAGAGATCCCGAAACAGAATTAAGCTGGGCATGAAACAGAAAAAAAGAAGATTTAGGGGAGTCTGCCATGAGATAAGTTCAAAGAAACAGTCATGAGGTAGAAAAACCTAACGTCGTGGCAAAAGTGGTGAAAGGGAAGGGTTGTTTATAAGGGTTACCACTGGAGAAATGTTGACAGAAATTTGTGACATATTGGATGTGAGGATATAAAGAGAAAGGTATAAATGATTGACAGTTGAGGATGGGGGACGAAAAAGATAATGTAATTGTCAGAAATAGGGAAGTTAGTAAATGGGGGGGTCAGTTTGAATGGAAAGACACCGATTGTAGGTATTAAAACATCATGTAAGTTTTGGTGTTTCTTGATAGGAAACACAAACAATGGATTATCTGTGTGTAATCCTTAGGGAAGGTGAAACAAATAGAAGCATTACTGAAAGGATGGAAATGAAACATGAGATTAGTGAAGCATGGAGGATTGTGCCTTAGAGGGTACAAGAAATCTGTAGAAGAAATCAAGAAGGAATAAAGAAGAGAACCAGGACAGTATAATGGCATTTACCACACACACATTTAAAGAGACAGGTCCACCTATATCAAATGCAGCCACAAATTTTAAAAGATGGAGGCTGTGCTTCAGAGTCAGCAGCATTAGAGGCATGCTGTGGTCACAGGTTGCAGTAGATGGTAAATTTATGGAGAAGGCTGGTGGTGGATGAAAAGTTTTCAGAGGTTTGGCCTGGAGATGTGGTAAAATGAGCAGAGGGACACAGTCTTTTTAAGAGTTAGTTGACTGTGGCAGGTGCTAAGGATATCCTGAGCAAAACCTGTTAATAGAACAGATTGTTTCTATGGAGTCAAAATGGTTTTGGTTTGTGGGTCTTCCTGGTTCCTCACTGGTAATTTCTCGAATTAATGGCTACAGCATTCTGCCCACCAGGGCGTGTTTCTGCCAAGTCAAGGGAAGCACCTCTGAAGGACTTATACACTCTTTTGTCTCCCCAACTATGTCACTCTGAAGCCTCGAAATAATTTATTTACTTCACATGGCTGAAAAAAAATGCCTTTTGGAAACCTCACAACTTCAAAATAATATCCCTATTATTTTCCCATATTATCCACAAATTATGGTTTGTGGATACCAGTTTTCACATCTGAGTAATCACATTGAACTTCAATTATGCCGGGTCTGATCAAGGCTGGAAAGACCCGAGTCTGGCAGACCTGGCCAGGACCTACCACTGGGACAAAAACATGCTTAACATAAATGGCCTTTATTGCCAATGTGGTTGTAGTTGTTGCCTCTACGCTTCTTTTATATTGACAAAAGCGAATATTGCTTTCATCTTCGTATTCTCAAAGGGGAAGTCTGCCAGTATAATGTGAATCACCTTTATACTATTAAGATCCTAGGCCACAAAAAATATGTTTGTTTTTAGTTGGAGGAATGTATGGCAATAAGGCAGAGGTAACTATCGATAGCACTGTGCAAGATATCCTCACCTATTTTAATGTTTACAATCCTTTATTAGACTATCTCCATTTTTATGAAGAAAACTAAGGCAAGAAATATATATATAAATGCCCTAGGTGACACAATTAATAAATTGTGGTGCCCATGTTTCAATCTAGCTTTGCCTAATGTCAAACGATTTAATCACTAGTACAATTGTTTGTGATTAAATGTGAGCTATTCATTGAAGGCCTTATTGTGTTCCCTGATTTATAGAAATAATGTACACAAATTATATTAAAAACATAAAAGGTATTTGAGCATTGAGGGTATATTACAACTTAATATTTGCTGGACTGTTTCATCCTTTAGAACAGAATCTGACTTTTTTTTTTTTTTTTTTTGAGCCAGAGTCTCA